CACTACTGTGCATGTGTGTCAAGGACAGAAAGGCAGATGTGGCAGTGGAAGGTGTCAAAGCAGTTTGGAGAGAAAAACAAAGGAAAAAACAAAAAAAAAGAGAAACCGATTAATCTATTATTAAATTAGTCATCGATTATTTTAATAATCGATTAGTCGTGATTAATCGTTGCAGCCCTACTCTTTATCCTTTCTGTTTTCATTTTTTTAAACTAATACTAAAACAGTTTTATTAATAACCTTAATAACAAATATTACTACAGTTATTTTGTGGGTCAACCACCTTGTTGACACTAAAATCATATTTTATTATTTTTCTTTTTGTATTTAACTAAATTTATATGACAAGCTGCAACAAGTTAAGGCCTGAAGTCTCTGTTAAGAGGTTTCACTAACAGCTGAAAAAGTGTTCAGGTACGGGACTAGAAACAGCCGAAGAAAACTTTAAAATACAGCCAGAAAGTCTGTCTGCTTTACACTCAAACAAACAGATTGTTGGATTTATTAAACCAAGTTATATCAACAATTTCCACTTGTGGAAATTGTTGATATAACTTGTTTAAATAAATCCAACAATCTGTTTTTTTAATTGTAGTTTAGCTTTAGTTTGCAGATTTGTTTATGAGCTTCCTGTTTGGTTTCTACGAGCCYGGTTCTGTAGAGTTTTATGGTAACTCGGCGTCTGCGCTCTGATTTGCAAGCGATCAGTTTGGACGAGTCACATCTGAAGTGTTTCCTTCTCCTCGTCTCTCCTCCCAGCTGACAGAGAGAGCCACTACGAAGACGAGGACACTTCAAACAGGAAGAGGAAGAGCCGAACATCGGCCCCGCCCACCAAGAAGAAGAGACGATCCTAAGCTAACACACACACACACACACACACACACACTGCCAAACCTGGTTTACTCTTCAGATCTTGACCCCAACTGGCTCTTTACTTCCAGACAAACCACGTGTACATAGATGTAGACCCCCCCCCCCTCCCCCCCCACCGTCTTTTATTTTCTTTGTGTTCGGGGGGTTGTGTGTGTGCATGTGTGTTTAAAGGGGTTTTTACTGCAAATGTTCTTCTGTTCAAATTTAATTTCTTAATAAAAGACTTGACATATCCTCTGCCAAGTGTTTTTATATAAATTAAAAAAAATAAAGAAAAACTTCAGCTTCTCATCGATGTTTCATTTCCTCTTGCTTTATTTTTAATAGGCTTTGTAAACTTACACACCTGCATCATCTTCCTCACTTGGCCTGTTTGTTTCTTTGATCCATTGGAGTAGATATGATGTACTGTTGAATTCTGAAATCCTCTTTTTGTTTTTGTAATAAAATTAAAAAGAACTGTAATTTGTTTTCATTCGCCTGTTTTGTCCCTTTTTCCTCTTTCACTTTAGTGTAGAATCAGAAAACCAGAGTTTGAAATGTTTCTAAACCTAATAATCAGTGGTGGGCAGCACTAATCTAAATATTAGTTGTGCTAACCCTAAAGTACTAACTTTAATATGTAGGTCCCCTAATTCTAAAGCACTAAAATCCCATCTGACCCATGGAACATTGCTCAGCGTCAACATGAGAATATTTTCTGTGCAGAATATTGTTAATATTTCATCTCGTTTAGTGGTTCCCAAAGTTGGGGTCGGGACCTCTTTGTGGGCCACAAAACATCAAGTGAGGGTCTCCAGATGATCTCCAGACATCAATTTAAGTGTAAAGAAAATGCTAATGGACTATTTTCATCGTGAATATTGCAATTTTTTAAATAATCATAAATGAATAAAAGTTAGTATCGTAGTTACTATGTTTGTTTATAGTTATTTCCATGTTTAACAGAGTTATTAGCAAAGTTTGCTACGTAAACAAGTAATTTATGGGGTCACAAGTGTCTGCAACTGTTATTTTGTGGGTCGGAAGCAAAAGAGTTTGAAAAGCACTGATCTGGTAAAGTGACTCATATGAACAACACGTCTGACAGCTTTCACCCTCAGCTGTTGACAAAAATGTTGATCAGTAATATTTAAAGAACTCAGTTAGTGCTTATCAATTTAGCATGTGCTAATCCACTAATGAATTAATAAATTGGCAAAAGCACTAATCAGGAGATTATTTCCCCTGTTAGTGCTTTAGGGGAACTGTGCCCACCACTGCTAATAATACACAGAAAATTTTCTCTACAAACCCGGCAATACTTTGAAGGATGCAACTTGTCTCTGATACAGGCCAACCATCTTCCTGACCTGACAGGTCAGCTTTGTCTAATAGGAACAAAAACAGTCAAATATATTTTTTACACTGTGGAAATGTTTAAATCAGAGACAAACGCAACTTGTTCTGTTTAATCATTTGAGCTAAATGTAGCCTGATTCAGAGTATTTTTTTTCTGACTAGTGTAGTATTTTATTTTATGCAAGTTACTGGTAAAATTTGAATTATATTTCAATATTTTCCACTTTTTTGTTTTGGTTGTCAGAATTTTAAAAAGCCTGCATATGTAAATTAGCAGTGGAGTGAAACTCCTGCCTGTGTGTGGAGGGGGTGAATAAAAGCTTGGCCTGTAAACAGAGTTCATATCAGGTCCGCAGTCAGTCAGACACCTGACAAAATGTAACAATTCATTTCAGTTTATTTATATAACGCCAAGTCACAACATACATTGTCTCAGGGCACTGTGCATAAAAAGAACAATCTAAAGAAGAAGCCAGCAGATTGTGTTGAATCACTTCATCACAGTCTCCCATCCTGAGCAAACGGTGGAGAGGAGAAACTCCCTGCTAATCAGGAAGAAMSCTCCAGCAGAACCAGGCTCAGGACAGGAGACCATCTGCCTCGACCGGCTGGGTTGAGGGACAGGAAAGAGACACAGGTAAACACAGGAGAACAGGTCCAGGACTGGTCCAGGTGCACCTTCTTCTGGAAGAGACAAAGATAAAACATGATAGAAATAATAACAAACATGTAGAGAAAAGAGACTAAAGACAACAGCAGAGTGAGGAAATGTGCTCAGTTTGTGCTCCAGCAGTCTAAGTCTATAGCAGCAGAAATGAAGAATAATTCAGGAAACCTAAGTCTAACTATAGGATTTATGAAAAAGAAAAGTCTTCAGTCTAATCTTAAAAGTAGACAGAGTGTCAGCCTCACGGACAGAAACTGGAAGTTGGTTCCACAAGAGAGGAGCTTGATAACTGAAAGCTCTGCCTCCCATTCTACTTTTAGAAACTCCAGGAACCACAAGTAAACCTGCAGTCTGAGAGTGAAGTGCTCTGTTAGGAAAGTGTGGAACAATAAGATGTTTAATACATGATGGAGCTTGGTTGTTAAGAGCTTTATATGTTAGGAGTAAGATTTTAAATTCTATTCTGAATTTGACGGAGCCAGTGGAGCAATAAAACAGTAAATTTTTTTGATACATTTGTACAGAAAAAGACAGGAGAAAAGAAGGTGTAAAGAACCTAAAGACTGAAGCATCTATGAATAGTTTGGGGCTGTTTAAATGTAAAAAGATCAATAAACATCTAT